CAGTATAGATTTGTGCGGGAAAAAAGAGAGAGGAACAGTTAATTTTAAAATAAAGGATTAGAAGCTCAAATGAAAGAAGCAGTATAGATTTTTGTGGGGGAAAAAAAGAGATCTTTGGCATAAAAAAAAAATGCGTAGGCACCCAAGAGTATACATCTCTTCAGGGTGGTTAATTAATATATATAGATCAAAAGTATAAATTAAAACAACCTGGACCTCTGGGAAACATTATTCAAATCTGTCTCATTATGAATAAACTAAGTTGCNCAAAAGTATAAATTAAAACAACCTGGACCTCTGGGAAACATTATTCAAAGCTGGCTCATTATGAATAAACTAAGTTGCCGACTATTGGAAAGATTATATAACATTCTCCGAGTATGCAATAGGAACTAATGCAACCTTTCACAGAGGGCTGGGAAATGGGGAACTGAAGATGGCTTACACCATCGCAATTAAACAAATAAATAACAGTTGTTTTGAAGGCATAACTACAACTACCATACATAATCACTATTTTTGTAGTAACAGTCTATCAAGTCTGTTACCTACTCTATCCGCCAACTACTACTATACGTTTTTAGGTGGAGAGAAATAATTTCCAGCCAAAGATTGGAATTCAATTGCTACTCAGTATATAAAATATTCTTTTAGCATATGGCTCAATCATCCCTTATTCTTGTCCTATATCAAGAACCGTTCTTGACAAGATAAAGAGTGCAAATGAAATGAGAACCAAAATCTGAACATTTTAATACTCGTAATGACTGATTTAAGAATTCAGGAAGAGACCAAGCTAGAAGCTCTAGATCTGGGGCAGATTTATTTATTAAAATTTCAAAAAATCATAGCATTTACTAAAGAATTAACAGCAAACATACACATTACGTTCATTTTCTGCAATGCAAAATGGAAGTACTCCATCAAACATACTATGTGATCAAATAGCATCAAAATATCCAATTTCTCAATAATTGAAATCGGTAAAATATAAGCCTTCAATAAATTAAAAATGAAGGCGCACCTCGTTAATAGCAAGGACTTGGCCGTTGCTCTTCTTCACCTTCTTAAGCTTCCTCAGGAAATACTTTTAAAATCAAAATAACAATTCGTTTCACTATATAATCACCTACAGAACCCATCTATACAATCACATTGAATTAAATATAAACAGTGTAGGCTATATATTAATTATATAGTAGGTCGAACCAGAATTTGGACTTGGCGCGGACGTCATTGGTGGCCCAGAGCTTCATCCGGTAGATCTTCGGGTGCTCATCTGTCTCCGTCGGTAGAGCTCTCCCCACCACTTGGTACTGATGAAACTGCAATATCTACAAACATGCCCAAAATTCATATATCAAATATATCGAAATCTCAAAACACTAATTTCATTAAACAAACACCACATACATATAAAGTGGAGGAATTACCTTGTAAGTCACCATTTCTGACGAGATTTTCTT